CAGGGAGTGGCTCCAGGTGAGATTCGAGTTTTACCTGAAGGGGTTTTAGCCCAGCTGGGGGTCCACGGGCTGGGATTTGCTGTGGAAATCTCCATCCAAGGATTTTCAGGGCTCTGAAATCCCGGGAAGATGGAAAGTGCAGGTCTGGAGGTGGCCTGCAGGACCAGCTGTTTACTGGGCTCGGGGAACGGGGAGGAAATAACACAAAACCCTCCAAGGATGGCGGGCTGGGAGGATCTGCAAATTCCAGAGAGGACAGCAGGGTTAGAAAAATCCGCAGGAAGCACAAAGGTCCAGAAGTTGGGAAAAACGAGAAGCAAATCCATCTGGAAGGAGCCCTGGAACAGCCACGGAGCTGCGCGAGGTGCCCTTTTTTGGGAAGGGGCTCTGTGAGGTCTAATCCCAGCTCTCCCAGGGATTTTGGCAGCTCCTGTGGCTCTGCTTTGGGCTGAGCTCCGCCCAAACCCGGCAGGAGCCCCCCGAGCTGCCCCTGGTCCCTGGTGCAGCCTCGCAGTCCCACGGGTGCCAGCTGGGATTGCAATTCCCGGGATAAAAACGTTCCCTCGGCCCTCCCAGCCCGGCCCCGGGGCCAGGGGGGCACCTCGGGGGTGGAGGGGGGTCACAGTCCCCACTCCTGGGTTGTTGTCGCTGTCCCGGGGTGGGAAATATGGGTAAAAATCATGGAATTCCACAGCTGGAAGGTGGAATCTGCTCCCTGCTAGGCAAACCCCGATTAATTTGGGGTTTTTGGGATGAGGAGCTTTTCCCCTCCTCCCCTGACCCAGCTGCGCGAGGTGCCCTTTTTTGGGAAGGGGCTCTGTGAGGTCTAATCCCAACTCTCCCAGGGATTTTTCTTCTGCCCCACAAACCCCGGTGGGGCTCAGCACTTCCCAATCCCTGTGGGAATTCCCTGGAATGGGGGTGCTGGGATGCTCCAAGGGGGTGCCTGGAGCACCCCCACCCCTCTGGGCACCTCCAGGGAAGTGTCCCCTGCTGTGGGGTGGCCGAGGGTCACCAGGGACAGCAGGGAAGGTTTACAGGGGGAAACGGGGGAGGTTTAAGGGGGCTCCAGAAGATTAAAGTTGGATTAATTGGGCCTTAATGGTTCTGCCATAAATTCCTTCTGGGATCGCTCCCAGAGCTCCCTCGCTAATTAAACAACCTAATGAAGGGATTTGATTAAAGGCAGCGGAGTCGTTGTGGCCAGGTGCCTCACAGGAACCTGGGAATAAAAATTTGGGAATAAAACCTGTGAATACAGCCTGGGAAAGCTGATTCCTCGGGAGCTGAAGTGCTTTAAACGCTGATTTTGCCGTGATTAATTGCCCTGTTCCCTGTTTGTCACCTGAGGGGACAGCCCTGCCTGCGTGCCGAGGGCTGGAACCAGAGCCAGGCACGGAGCCCAGCGATCCCCTGGCTTTGTGGGGAGTAAATCCAGGGGTTTTTCCTCCAGGAATGCCGCAGTCGGGCTCGAGCTGCGAGCAGGGGGTGATGGATGCCCTGGGAAGGGCAGGAGCCAGGACTGAGGAGGCTCCAGCGCCGGCCTTGGCTCCCTCGGGTGGAGCTGGCCGGGCAGCCAGAGCTGCGGTAATTAACGGCACTAATTAAAATAATTACAGTGATTGATAGAGAGGGTGTTGAGAAGAGTAGGGAGAGGGGGGTCCGGGCTGGGCAGGGAGAGGGAAGGAGCAGCGGGAGGAGCGCGGTGACCTCTGCGGGGGGAGCGGCGATTGCTCAGCCCCGCCTGGGCCGGCCCTGAGTCAGCCGGGAGCGGGATTAAGCCCGGAGCCGGGACTAACCCCGGAGCCGGGACTAACCCTGGGGCTGGGACTAACCCTGGAGCTGGGACTAACCCTGTAACCGGGACTAACCCTGGAGCCGGGACTAACCCCGGAGCCAGGATTAACCCCGGAGCCAGGATTAACCCCGGAGCCAGGGGGAGCCGGGAGTAGAGGAAGCCGGGAGGGTTCCAGGCTTAGGAATCCTGCCCAAGCCTCAGGGATCCTGCTCCAGGCTCAGGGATCCCGCTCCAGGCTCAGGGATCCATTCCAGGCTCAGGGATGCTCAGGGATGATGGAGAGGCCCGGGAAGAAGGGCTGGGTATTTGGGATGGCTGGAATCTGCACCGAATTCCTCCTCCTCCTCCTCCCTGCGGATCCCTGTGCTGGGACAACAAAAGCCGAGCCCGGGATGAATTCCCGAACCCGGCGCAATCTCTGGGGCCGGGCCAGCCTTGCTGCAGCCCCCTCCCCACGCCGTTCCCGGCGGGTTTAGGGGCAGGGAAGGCGGGCAGGGCTCTGCTCCCCCTCCCAGCGCAGCCGGGGCGGGGGCAGCTCCCGCGGCCGCCTCGGACGCGATCATCGCGGTTCCGCCCCGGAATTCTTTTCCCCTTCGCTCATTCCCAACTCCGGAGCTTCTCCCGGAGCCAAGAGCTTCTCCGGAGCTCCGTCCCGGCCCTCTGGACGCGGCTGCGGCGTGCGGGGGCTGCCGGAGCTCCCGGCGGGGCTGGGCAGGAGCCGCTCCCGGCGGGGCTCGGGGGAAGCTGACCGCGATTTTCCAGCCTGGCACCACCCGGAACGCCCGGCAGAGCCCCGGCAAGGGCGGCACGGCCCCTTCCTGCCGCATCCTGCGGGAATGGAGCCACCCCGAACTGCCAGGCATCCTTTAGGGGGATCCCTGCGCCCCCCTCGTCCCTGCCCTGCCTGCCCTTCCCCTGGGCTTGGGGGGTTTTGCTGCCAAACTTCCCGAATTTGACATTTTCCAGCTTTTCCTCCTGTTTTTCCCCCCTTTCCCTTTCTAAAATTCAATTTTTTTAGCTCTCCAAAGGGAATTTTGAAGATCTGGCCCTCAGAAAGATCCAGAAATCCTCTGGGTTTGTGGCACCGAGTGGAGGCTCGGCTTGGGGCAGGGATAACACCAGGAATCCTCTCCCTGGGGCCAAACCAACATTTTAAACCAAATATTCCTGAGAAATCCAGGCCGGGATGTGGGGAAGGTGAGCCTGGTTTGGGGACAGCCCTTTGCTCTGGAAAATTCCCTTTCCTGAATCTCCTGGGGCTGGGATTGAGAGCTCCTGACACTTCCAGGGCTGGGATCCACAACTCCTGGTGTCCTGGGCTGTTCCCAGGCTGGGCTTGGCAATTCCTGTGTCCTGGGCTGTTCCCAAGGCTGGGATTGACAATTCCTGGTGTCCTGGGGTGTTCCCAGTAATTTATCCATGCAGGAAATCCATGAAAATCAGTTCCTGAGGAAGAGGCTGCCACACCTGACAGGAGTCACTGGCACGGTGGTCCATGAGGGGTTTGGGTTGGATGGAGAAAATGAAGATGGATGGAGAGGATGGAGATGGAGAGGATGGAGATGGAGAGGATGAAGGCTTTCCCTGTCTCCCAGCTGGAATGGTGGAGTCACAGCTCATGATGGGAATTCCCTGCTCCCACCCTGCCCTTGAACTCTAAGCTTGGGATGGCCAGAGTGACCAGAACATGGCCAGAGTGACCACGAAATGTCCAGAGTGACCAGGGAATGTCCAGAGTGACCATGGAATGTCCAGAGTGACCATGGAATGTCCAGAGTGACCATGGAATGGCCAGAGTTATCATGGAATGTCCAGAGTGACCACAAAATGTCCAGAATGACCAGGGGATGTCCTGAGTGACCAGGGGATGGTCACAGTGACCAGAACATGGCCGGATTGACCAGTGCTCCAACCTCCCCATCCCTGGTGGGACACACTGGCTCCACCAGGCCCCAAATTCCTCCATGTCCCCATTCCCACCTCCTTGGTCCCCCTGGCCATTCCCACTGTCCTGGTCCTGTCCCTCAGGAATGTCCAGAGTGACCATGGAATGTCCAGAGTGACCATGGAATGGCCAGAGTTATCATGGAATGTCCAGAGTGACCACAAAATGTCCAGAATGACCAGGGGATGTCCTGAGTGACCAGGGGATGGTCACAGTGACCAGAACATGGCCGGATTGACCAGTGCTCCAACCTCCCCATCCCTGGTGGGACACACTGGCTCCACCAGGCCCCAAATTCCTCCATGTCCCCATTCCCACCTCCTTGGTCCCCCTGGCCATTCCCACTGTCCTGGTCCTGTCCCTCAGCGTTCCCAAGCTCTGGACATTCCCTCTCCCACCTCTGCCGGACCCAAGAGGGCTTTGGCTCCAAACCAGGAAAAGGGGATCAACACCAGGATGGCTGAAAATCCACTCAGGGCCACCAGAACCGCGATGTCCCCAAGGCTGGGGACACAGCCCCGCTTTCCCTGCAAGAGCAGGGCTGGATTTTGCTCCAGACGTGGAAAAAACGATGCCCAGAGCCACGTCCGAGGGCTGAAAAATGTCAAAGGGCGCCTTTGAAGGTGGATCCGCTGCGGCGGGGAAAGAATTCCTGCAGGGAGCAAATTCAACAAAGTCCCCTGGCTGGGAGCAGCGCTCCCGGCACCAGCAGAGCCGCGGGGAGGGGTCGCTGCCTCCCGAATTCGGAGCTTTCCCGGGGCGGGGGCGGCTCCGGAGGTCGGGCAGAGCACGGAGAAGGTCTGGGATGCGCCACCTTTCCGTGCCTGGCGTCGCTTTAGTGCCAGGGACTGCCCTGTCTGGTGCCTCAATTTCTGCCTTTCCATGCCCGCCTGAGCAGCTGTGAGCTAGGAGGGGGGAAAAAATAAATAAAAATCCATAGAACACGTCCCCGTGGATTTGGGGATTTTTTGGACCGGTTTTGAAAGGAATTAGCATCAAATTCCTGCAGCATCTCCTTCCAAACAACATCTCCTTTCCCTATTGATCCTGGTCCTATTCCAGCTGGCAAACTCGAGCCTCCATCCCGGCTTTTTGTTTAAACAGCCTGGAATTCCTCCGTGGGTCCTCTCGGTGCCTTTTCCTGGCTCCCACCCCATCTACCTGCTGGATTTGAGGCTTGGGATCATCCTGCGAGGAGCAATGCCCTGGTTTGGGGGTGAAAGGAATTTTTATTGTGTTGGGAATAAATACATTTAAGGCAAAAGGGGCAGTGCAGAGAGGGGGATTTTGGGAAAAGCTCCGGTTTCTGCTGCCAGCCCGGCGTGGAAGTGCAGGAGCAGCCCCTCCTGGGTGGCTGCCAGCCCCTGGCACGGTCGGGATTGGGATTTCGAGGAGCCAGAGCAGCTCGGGTTTCACGGTCCTGCTGCAGATGGAGAGAGGGGGATGGTGGGGACGGACGGAGGAGACCCCAGATCCCAAATCCCGGGGATTTTGGGACAGGGATGGATGTGGGAGGGCAATTCCTTGGGCTGGGGGGCTCCTGTGCCCCCCTGGATCCCAAATCCCGGGGATTCCAGGATCGGGATGGATGTGGGAGGGCAATTCCTGGGTCGGCTGTGCCCCTCTAGATCCCAAATCCCGGGGATTCTGGGACAGGGATGGATGTGGGATGACAATTCCCAGGGCTGGGGGGCTTCTGTGCCCCCTTGGATCCAAAATCCCAACGATTCTGGGACAGGGATGGATGTGGGATGGCAATTTCTTGGGTTGGGGGTCTCCTGTGCCCCACTGGATCACAAATCCCGGGGATTCTGGGGTAGGGATGGATATGAAAAGGCAATTCCCAGGGCTGGGGGGCTCCTGTGCCCCCCTGGATCCCAAATCTTAGGGATTCCGGGATCGGGAAGGATGTGGGAGGGGGATTCCCAGGGCTGGGGGGGCTCCTGTGCCCCCCTGGATCCCAAATCCCAGGGATTCTGGGGCAGGGATGGATGTGGGATGACAATTCCCAGGGTTGGGTGGCTCCTGTGCGCCCCCAGGACCCCTCAGAGCTCTGAGCACTCAACAGGTCCCGGGTTCTCTGAGCCCCTCGTGTTCAAAATGTCCCTTCTGGAGCAGGAATGTCCCCCGAGCCCTCCTGGCCGTGTCCCCTCTGCGCGCTGCTGTGTTCCAGCCAGGAAAACCCAGTGTCCCCTGGGCAGGGACACTCTGCTGCCACCACCGTGCCACCCCCAGCCTGTCCTCACGGAGTGCCACCAGGATTTACATCAAAGCTCATCCCTGGCAGCAAAGCACCCCCTGCACCCCATTTCCAGGTTCCTGTGCCCTGAGGGGCCGGGAATGGGGATGTGGGACAGCCGGGAATGGGGATGTGGGACAGCCGGGAATGGGGATGTGGGACAGCCGGGAATGGGGCTGTGGGACAGCAGGGAATGGGGCTGTGGGACAGCCGGGAATGGGGATGTGGGACAGCCGGGAATGGGGCTGTGGGACAGCAGGGAATGGGGCTGTGGGACAGCCGGGAATGGGGATGTGGGACAGCCAGGAATGGGGATGTGGGACAGCGGGAATGGGGATGTGGGGACAGCAGGGAATGGGGATGTGGGACAGCCGGGAATGGGAATGGGGCTGTGGGACAGCCGGGAATGGGGCTGTGGGGACAGGGGACACCCACCCTCCGCCAAACTCCATCCCGCTCCTGGGAAAGCGGAGCCGGCGGCGAGGGCAGGGCCTATTCCGTGATTAATTAGCTTTGTTTTGAAACAAGGAGCTGCCTCCGCAGCAGCAGCAGGAGGAAGAGGAGGAGGAGGAGGAGGAATTGTTGCCGAGCGCCAGAGCCGCGTGTGCGCCGAGCCCGCCGCGCTCGGCTGCCAGAGAAAGACGTGATTGTTGTCAGCGTGCCTCGCTCGCAGGGCGGGGATTCCCCGCCAGGAGCAGGTGGAGGAGGTGGAGGAGGAGGAGGAGGGAGAGAGAAGCCAGAGAAAAACTTGTCTTGGGGATTAATAGGAGGCAGGAGGAGGGAGAGGTGCGCACAGGTAAGCTCTGGGCAGGTGTTCCCCCCCCAGGCTCTGCTCACCTTGCCTGAGCCTCGCAGCGATGCTCCTGCCCTCTCCGGCCTCCCTCGCACCCCCAAAAACATCTGCTCTCCCTCTTTCCCCCCTCTCCTCTCGGTTCCTCTGTCCTGCAGCGCTCTGGAGTCTTTGTTCTTTCTCTGCTCCGCTTCCAGGAGTTGCTGGGGTGCAGGAGGGGGTTGGGGGGTCGCAGGGAAGCGGGGGGGTGTGACAGCGCTGCGGCCACTGCCAGGCGCTTTCGGGGGGACATGAAGTGCCCTTTGTGTGCCCCCCACACCCCGAACCCCAGCACGTTTGGCTCTGCAGCCAAACTGGGGGCGCTGGGGGTCGGAACTGGGGGAGCCGGGGGGGCCATGGCCAGGACAATCCCTGCCTTGGGAAGCAGGAGGGAAAACAAGCGAGGAAAGGGAGAGGCTGAGGGGAGGAGGGCCCCCCCCCCGGGGGACAGAAATGCCACCAGGAGCCTGCGGGGACATCGGGGCACCCTGTCCTGCCTGGGGGGGGCTCTGGGGGGCTGCTCCCATCTCCCCGTGCTGGGGTAGGAACAGGGAATTTCGGACGGGAGCGGAGCGGGGTGGGGGCGAGCAGCCCGACAGCTCCGGGGCAGCTCCCAACGAGCTCCCCTCTGCCCAAAATGTAGGGGGCAAAGCCTTTCTTTCCAGCCTGGGTCGCACCGAGCATTCCCTGGGCATGTAATCCCACTTTTCCTGCCCGGAGCCAGCTCAGCTCCAGGTGGGCGGGGAGGTGCAGCCCCCTCCCCGCGGGGGTCCCTCTCGGAGCCGGCTCTTTGTCCTCGCTCGGCCAGGAGGAACAAGCGGGAAGTGATGTTCGCCGAAATCTTGGGAAGGAGAAAAAAAAAAAAGTTTTGTTACTTGGAAGAGGCTGATCCCAAACCTGCCCTTGCCCGCCGGCTGGAGAGGTTTGGGGGAAAGCAGCTCCAAAGCAAAACATGGGAATTCATCCCCGTGCACGTGAGGGCTTGGGAGAGTCCCTGGGATCCTGGGGTCCTGAGATCCTGCAATCCTGGGATTCTGGGATCCTGCAGTCATGGGATCCTGCAATCCTTGGGATCCTGGGATTCTGGGATCCCATAATCCTTGAATCTGCAGTCCTGGGACTCTGGGATCCTGTGATCATGGGATCATGGAATCACGGGTTCCTGGGATCCTGTGATCCCGGGATCAGGGGATTCTGGGATCCCACAATCCTGGAATCCTGGGATCCTGCAATCCTTGGGATCCTGGGATTCTGGGATCCTAGAATCCCGGGATCCTGCAGTCTTTGGGATCCCGGGATTCTGGGATCCCGCTATCCCGGCCCTGCCCCGTGTGGCCCCCAGGCCATCCCAGCGCCGCGCCCCGGGCAGCGCAGCGCCCTTTCCTGGGACAGCCAGAATGCGGGAATTGCGTCCCTGCTCCCCGGGGAATCAGCGCTTCCCGCCCGGGAAGAGATCAAAGCGCAGCCGTGGGAGGTTTCCCTGCCCTTGGAAGAGGAGGAGGAGGAGGGGATGAGGCGTCGGGGCCGCTTCCCAGCCCGGGGGAGAAGCGGAGCGGGCGAGGCGGCTGCTCGGGGTGGGGAGCGCGGCGTGTGTGGGGTCCGGGCCCGCGGCGCTTTGGCAGCCAGGAGCCGCTTTTGTCCCTGCCCAGCGTTCCCGCTGCGTGCGGCAGCGGGACCCGAGCCGGGAGCGGCGCTGGGAAGGGCCGGGACACGGGGAGGGAGGAATTGAGGAGACAGAGAGCAGCGGGAAGGTGCTCCCGGCCAGGGCCGCCTTCCCACGGGCGCTGCCGCGGGAGGAGGGAGCGGGGGACGGGGTGAGGTTTTGGGGAGGATCCCGGGGACCAGGGAGCAGAGGAAGGGATGAGATTTTGGGAAGTATCCCGGGGACCAGGGAGCAGGGGATGGGATGAGCTTTTTGGGAGGATCCCGGGGACTCTGTGAGTAGGGGAAGGGATGAGCTTTTGGGGAGGATCCCGGGGATCAGAGGAAGGGATGAGCCCTTGGGGAGGATCCCGGCGGTTCTGGGGATCAGGGAGCAAGGGAAAGGATGAGCCTTTGGGGAGGATCCGGGGGACTCTGGGAGCAGAGGAAGGGATGAGCTTTTGGGGAGGATCCCAAGGACTGTGGGAACCAGGGAGCAGGGGATGGGATGAGCTTTTGGGGAGGATCCCGGGGATTCTGGGAGCAGAGGAAGGGATGAGCATTTGGGCAGGATCCCGGGGACTTGTGGGGACCAGGGAGCTGGGGAAAGGATGAGCTTTTGGGGAGGGTCCCGGGGACTCTGGGAGCGGAGGAAGGGATGAGCATTTGGGAAGTATCCCGAGGACTGTGGGGACCCAGGAACAGAGGAAGGGATGAGCATGTGAGGAGGATCCCGGCGGCTCTGGGGACCCTCGTGGCACACAGGAGCCCCGCGCTGCTGTCGCCGTGTCCTGGCTGAGCCCTGGCGGTGTCACCGCTCCCTGCACGGACTCAGCGCCATCCCAGCGGGAATGCGGCAGGACCCAGCCCCGGCTCGCTGGGAGAGGGCTGGGAAAGGGCGAGAACCGCGGGGTTGTTCCACCAGGGCTGCGCTTCCCGAGGGACCCCGGCTGCCCTCCCCCTTTTCCACGATTCCCAGCGCTCCAGAGGCGCTGGATGACGAGCTCCGGGCTGGGTCGGGCTCTCGCAGAGACACGAGCCGCGCCAAGGAAGGAGCTTTGCCCGATCCTGGTGGTTATTTTTATCTTGCTCTCCTTGTTCTGCTCCGACATTCCCGTTCCCAGGCTGGAAGGGGGCTTTTCCCCCACCAGGGATGATGGGGATTGCGGGAATGTGTGAGAGGAGCTAACAGCGAGCTGGAAAGCGGCCCTACTCCAGCCACGCAGCTTTTCCTGCCTCTCCCAGAGTTAAAATTCCCTTTATCCCTCTGCGGGAGCGGGATGTTGGACACACACCCGCATCCAGCTGCTGCCTGTCCCCTCCCCGCTGCAGGAGGCACCCGAGCGACACCGCGGGGACCCTGCGGGTGACAAATCCCCCGCGGTGACCTTTGCACGGCTCCCTGTCGCCCCGGGGTGGCGGCTTCTCCCTGCCCTTGGCGCCCGTCCCGGGGCTGGCAGCCAGCGCTGCTGGAGCCGGGGCTTGCTGGGATGCAGGGAAGAGAAACTATGCGCAAAGCAAACCCCCGTGGCATTCGGGGCTGGAATTTACAGCTGTTGCACTGGGGTTTTTTGGGGTTTTTTTTGTCCATTGTAACCGGGATGGCTGAGGAAGCAGCTGCCTCCTTCTGGGAAAAACCCCGGGATCTGCCGGGTGCCTCGGCCTCGCAGCCAGGCCGGGCTCAGGGAGGTGTCAGCGCTGGTTTTGTCCATGAATTGAGCCTTTTTTCCAGGCCAGGCCGTCGGTTTCCTGAATTCCTGCGTTGCTCCATGACTTAACTTTGTTCCAGTGGCACGGATTCCTTGTGGGCAGCTGGAGCTGGGGAGGCTGGCAGGGCAGGGCTGTGCTGGGGCTCCGCTGGGATCGGCGGGGGGGATTTGGGAATTCTGCTCCTGGCATTCACACCAGTAAATCCAACCGCATGGAGAACAGGCTTCGGCTTTTCCAGATCCTGGGAGAGCTGCCTCGGAGTCTTCCAGCAATTGTGATGTTGTGGTGGTGTCACATCCCTGGTTTTTTTTTTGGGAATGTCACTGCTTTCCTGCAGTTTGCTTGGAAGTGGCTCCCGCTTTCCCCAGGCAAGCTGGGGAGCAGCACCAGGGAAGGGTGGTGGCAGTGCCACAGGGCTGGGACAGTCCCCGCGGGGATGGGGGTGGATACAATGGGAGTTGTCAGTCCCCGCTGCTGCCCCTCCGTGCCCACAGAATTCCACGGGATGCTGTCACTCCCCAGCCGGGATTCCTGGCTCGGGTGGCTGCTCCCTCCCTGTGCCGAGCCCCCAAACCTCTGGGATGTCAGACCCTCGTGGGGAGGGGACGGGGCAGGCTTGGAGGGGTGACAACGCTGCCCTGTCCCCCACCCTGCTGGGACATTGCTGGGGGGCCTGGGTGGATCCGACACCTGGATCACAGCGTGTCCTGCCTGGAATGTTGAGTCCTGCCTGGAATGTTGAGTCCTGGATGGAAGGTCACCTCCCAGCTGGAATGTCATCTCCCAGCTGCTCCCTCCCTCTGCACCGGGCCAAGCTCAGACCTCAGCCCCTGCCACTTCCTCGGGAGTTTATGGGGGTTAAAATCCAGGTTCTGGAGCAGGGGAGAGGCCCCTTGTAAAGCTCTGGGATGCCACGGAAAGCTTTGGGAGTGAGATCCACGTGCTGTGGCCGGGGAAGGAGCAGGATGCTGACGGAATGGGGAGGGCACTGCACAAACAGCAGAGCCCTGTCACGGATTTTCCCATTTTCCAGACCCTGAACCCAGAGTGCAGGGACAGGATCGCATCCATCCCCAAGCAGGAGCTGCTGCAGCTCTGCTGGGCTCGGGATCCGGCAGCTCTGGGCTCTGCCGGCTCCTTCCTTGCTCCTCCCTTCCCCCAGCGAGATGCCAGAGCCCTGATGGAAAGCAGCCGGCCCGGGAGGCGTGCGGGGTTAACCAGAGCCAGATGGGAGCCGGGAGGAACGGGCCGGGCCTGCAGGAGGGGCCGAAACGGGACCTTTTCCTGCAGAAATTCAACTCCTTGGAGCCCCAGGAAAGCTGGGATGGCTGCAAAGGGAGCTGGGGCTGGCAGAGTGGCCCTGGAGAGGGTGGCCCAGGGGGTCCCTGCAGTTCCTGGGGGCTTTTCTCCCTCCAGGGGTGATGGAAATTGAGGGTTCCAGGCATGAGGAGAGCTGGCAATGCCTGGAAAGGGAGGACAGGCAGTGAATCCCACTCTGCTGTGCTGGATGGGAGAGCTGGAAGTGCTGGATTTCCTCCCAAAATTGGCACCAGCAGCTCCAGCACCTCCAAAGGCTTCTCCCATCTCAGCAGTGCTTTCCTGTCCATTTCCCTTCCTCCTCTGGTTTCCCTCATTTCCTCCCTCTCCTCCATCTCCCTCTCCTTCCCGCCCTCCCTCTGCCTTGCTCTGATCCTGCCAGGTGACGAATCCATCTGGGAGAAGCCTGGTGAGCCCCGGGGTCCATTCCCAGGAATCCCACCCCGATCCCAGCCTGCTGCAGCTGTGGGAGCACCCAAACCCCACTGCACGGGCTCCTCTGCTGGATCCCTCCTCCCTCGGGGCAGCAGCCGCGGAATTCCCAGGAAATCTGGCGAGGATGAGGAAGGAGCTGCTGTTCCAGGCGGAACAGGGGTGGGACAGCGTGAGCAGCACCCAGAGAGGAGGGAGAGGTGGCCTGGGATGGTGTCCAGGAGAAATTTCCTGGCTTGGGGCACACAGATCTCACCTGACCCCTCCCAATGTCCCGCTGTGACTCTTCCCAAATGGTCAGCGGGGCTGGAGGGGTTCCCTGGGCAGCAAGGGGAGCTGTGGATCCAAACCCTGCGGTGTTCCCACTTTGGGAATGCCCTTTTCATCCCAGGGCCTGGCAGAGGGGCTGTTCCTCACCCAGAGCCGTCCATCTCTCCTGCCCCGTTCAGCTCTGCCAGATTCCTGGGGCTTTCCAGAGGAAATTTCCTGTGGAATCTCTAATTTGCTGACTGCCAAACGAAGCCAAACCCATCCAGGAGTCTGAAGGGCTGATCCATCCTTTGGGAAGAGAGGATGGAAGGTCCAGGCACTGCGGGGTGGAAAAATGAAATTAAAACCCAAATTAAAAAAACAAACAAAAACAAACAACAACAACAACATTCCCCATGGATAACGCTGAGGCAGGAGAGGAATTCCATGGATAATGGTGGATGAGAGAGGAATTCCATGGATAATGGTTGATGAGAGAGGAATTCCATGGATAATGTGAGGCAGGGCAAGGAATGCCATGGATAATGGTGAATGAGAGGGATCCCACGGATAACAGTGAGCCAGAGGGATCCCATGGATAATGGTGGGGCAGGGAGAAGAATCTCATGGATAATGATAGGCCAAGGAGAGGAATTCCATGGATAATGTGAGATAGGGAAAGGAATTCCATGGATAATGATGAATGAGAGAGCGATTCCATGGATAATGGTGAATGAGATGAATTCCATGGATAATGGTGAATGAGATAGAGATTCCATGGATAATGGTGAATGAAAAAGGGATTCCATGGATAATGATGAATGAGATGAATTCCATGGATAATGGTGAATGAGATAGGGATTCCATGGATAATGGTGAATGAGATGAATTCCATGGATAATGTGAGGCAGGGAGAAGGATTCCACGGACAACAGCGAGCCAGGGACAGGGGCCTCAGAGACCCCAGCCCGGTGGAGGGGCTGCATTGGAAGACGACTCCCAGTGGGAAGGGGACAGGAGTCAGGGAATGGATAAACCCCCGCGTGCCAGCGGTGGGGAGGCGACAATTCCTCAACCCACCCCTCTCCTGGTGTCCCTGCAGGAAAGCACCCGGACCATGAAGGCGGCCCTGGCGTTCCTGCTCCCGCTGGCGCTGGCGCTGGCGCCCGCGGCGAGCGCCCAGCGGCGCAAACCCCCCCGCAGGCCCACCCGGCCGCCCGCGCCCTTCGAGGAGCCCGCGGAGCCCACGGAGCTGCCCCCTCCCCTCCCTCCGGGCCCGCCGTCCGTCTTCCCCGACTGCCCGCGGGAGTGCTACTGCCCGCCCGACTTCCCGTCGGCGCTGTACTGCGACAGCCGCAACCTGCGCACGGTGCCCGTCATCCCGCCGCGCATCCACTACCTGTACCTGCAGAACAACTTCATCGCCGACCTGCCCGAGGAGTCCTTCCGCAACGCCACCGGCCTCAAGTGGGTCAACCTGGACAACAACCGCATCCGCAAGGTGGACAGGAAGGTGCTGGAGAAGCTGGAGAACCTCATCTTCCTCTACATGGAGAGGAACCAGCTGAAGGAGGTGCCCGCCTTCCTGCCGCCCAACCTGGAGCAGCTGCGGCTCAGCAGGAATCAGATCTCCAAGATCCCCGCCGGCGTCTTCAACAAGCTGGAGAACCTGGTGCTGCTGGACCTGCACCACAACAAGCTGAGCGACGGCGTCTTCAACAAGAACACCTTCAAGGGGCTCAAGAACCTCATGCAGCTCAACCTGGCCCACAACATCCTGAGGAAGATGCCCCCCGGCGTGCCCAGCGCCATCCACCAGCTCTTCCTGGACAGGAACAACATCGAGGACATCCCCAGCGATTATTTCAAGGAGTTCCCCAACCTGGCTTTCATCCGGCTCAACTACAACCAGATTTCGGATAAGGGGCTGCCCAAAAATTCCTTCAACCTCACCAACCTGCTGGTGCTGCACCTGGCCCACAACAAGCTCACCAACGTGCCCTTCATCAGCCCCAAGCTGGAGCACCTCTACCTGAACAACAACTCCATCGAGAGTGAGTCCCACGGGGGGTTTGGGGGAGAAAAAACCTTGGGAAGGTTTTTCTGAGGAGCAGGAAAGGCTGGGGGCAGTGACAGGGCTGGAGCGGGATTCCTGGATGTTTTTTTTGGGAAGCTGGGGCCGGCTCGGCAGGTTCCGGGGGTGGGATGTTCCCTTTTCTCTCTGGAATGCCACCGCATCCCTCTCTGCGCTGCGGAGGAACGTGACCTACTTCACTCCTGATCAAAAACCAGATTTTCCCTCCTGCTGGGGCTTTGAACAGCCTGGGATTGTCCCTTTTGGTGGCAAAACAACCCCACTTTGGAGGGGGTTCAAAAATCCCTGTCCACATTCCCTTTTCCCTAACCCTCATCCCGCTCTTCCTCTCCACATTCCCTTTTCCCTGACCTGAATTCCACTGTTCCTCCTGCCCACATTCCCTTTTCCCTGACCCACATTTCACTGCTCCTCCTGTCCACATTCCCTTTTTCCCTAACCCTCATCCCACTGTTCCCCCTGACCCCATTCCCTTTTCCCTAACCCTCATCCTGCTCTTCCTCCTGCCCACATTCCTTTTCCCTAACCCGTATCCCTCTCTCCCTTCTCTCCACATTCTCTTTTCCCTATCCCACTGCTCCTGCTTTCCACATTCCCTTTTCCCTCACCCGCATCTCACTCTTCCTCCTGCCCCCACTCCTTCTTCCCTGACCCGCATCCCTCTGTTCCTTTTCTCCGCATTCCTGTTCCTCCTTTCCCTATCCCACTGCTCCTCCTCTCCACATTCCCTTTTCCCTCACCCGAATCCCACATTCCTTTTACTCCATTCCCTTTTCCCTGACCCTCATCCCGCCCTTCCTCCTGCCCACATTCCCTTTTCCTCACCCGCCTCCCGCTTTTCCTCCTGCCCACATTCCTTTTTCCCTGACCCGCATCCCTCTGTTCCTTTTCTCCGCATTCCTGTTCCTCCTCTCCACATTCCCTTTTCCCTATCCCGCTGCTCCTCCTCTCCACATTCCCCTTTCCCTGACCCTCATCCCTCTCTTCCTCCTGCCCACATTCCAGCCCCGCATTCCCTCACCCTCACCCCGCGGTGTCTCCTGTCCCCGCAGAAATCAACGGCACGCAGATCTGCCCCACCTCGCTGGTGTCCATCCAGGATTTCTCTCCCTCCGACCTGGACAGCGTCCCGCGGCTCCGCTACCTGCGGCTGGACGGGAACCTGCTCAAGCCGCCCATCCCTCTGGACCTGATGCTGTGTTTCCGCCTGCTGCAGTCCGTGGTGTTTTAGCCCCGTCGCGCCTCTCCCAGCCCGGCTTCGCTCGGACGTTTCACCCCCGGCGGGTTTGACACGTGGGACCCTCTCTCCTCCCTCTCCCCCGCTCGCCCCCCGCCTCCATCCCTCTCCCCGTTGGTTCCCGCTTTTCCTGCCCTGCGGGGACACCCGCGGCTCCTTGGGGACCGCTCTGAGCAGGACAGCGCCGTGTCCCCGCCGGTCGCAGCGCCCTGTCCTTGTCCCCCAGGCCCAGCCCGGAGTGGCTCCGTCTCTCCCTTGGAGCCCCGCGGGGTTCGGGGGGCTGGGGTCGGTCCGGATGGGGTTCAGGCGTGTCCCTGCTCCTGGGGAACCATTCCCGGTGGGGTTTGGAGCTGGGATGGGATGAGCTGAGGGTGGTGGGACCCGTGGAAGTGAGGAGGATGGACAATCAGGCCATCCCAGGGGGTGGGGACACTCCTGTCACCCTTTGGCTCCGCGTTTCTCTGGAGGAGGAGGAGGAGGGTCTAAATCCCTCCCCGGGCAGGAGCAGACCCCGCCCGGCTTCAAATCCCCCATCCCAGCATCCCCCCACCCATGGGGCCACAGCCCCATCCAAATCCTGAATCCACATCCATGGGGCCACAGCCCCATCCCAAAATCCTGAATCCACATCCATGGAGTTACAGCCCCATCCAAATCCTGAATCTACATCCATGGGGCCACAGGCCCATCCAAAATCCTGAATCCTTCCATGTAAAATCTGGGATCAAGAGCCACAGCCCCATCCCAAAATCCTGCACATTTCCCTGTAAAATATTATGATGTAGTGACACATATATGGGATCACAGCCCAATCCCAAAATCCTACACCTTTCCCTCTAAAATCTGGGATTCAGGGACACATCCATGGGGCCAGAGCCCCATCCCAAAATCCTGCACCTTTCCCTGTAAAATCTGGGATGCAGGGACACTTCTGTGGGGTCACAGCCCCATCCCAAAATCCTGCACATTTCCCTGTAAAATATTATGATGTAGTGACACATATATGGGATCACAGCCCAATCCCAAAATCCTACACCTTTCCCTCTAAAATCTGGGATTCAGGGACACATCCATGGGGCCAGAGCCCCATCCCAAAATCCTGCACCTTTCCCTGTAAAATCTGGGATGCAGGGACACTTCTGTGGGGTCACAGCCCCATCCTGCATCCTTCCCTCTGAGATCTGAGGATTCAGGGCCACGTCCACGGCTCAGTTTCTCTCTGGAGCCAATCACACATGGCTGGGTTTTGCCTTTTTTTATCAGAAATAAAAGGAAGGGAGAAGAAAAGGGAAGAATCATCCTTTGGAAGGGCTATTTTTATCCCTGCTCTTCCCCGTCCCCACATGTATCGCTTCCCCCTCCCATAGCTGTACCTGCATTTATAGGGTGTCCGGGTTTAGGGGGGATTATTCTCTTCTTTTCTTCCCGAGTCTCAGGATTTGGATTTAAAGGCCGAGCATTAGAAAGGAGGAAAAAAAAAAAAATCAAAATCCAACTGCAATGAGCATTAAATAAGCCAAAGAAAGCTCCTTTGTGTCCAGCCAGCAGAGCTGACCCTTCCCAGGACGGGCACGGACGGGCACCGTGTCCTTCCCCTGCAGCTGGCACAGGGATGCTCCCCTTCTCCCATTAATTAACACCTCCTGCTCATTAAGGAGGCTTTCCCCTGATGCTAAAATCTGCTTTGCAGCTCTCCCTGCAGTAGGGTGGGACAGGTTTCAGCCCTAAACCCGGACAGAGCCCCTGGATTTATATATATTTATATCTGATGTGTATATAGACTGGTAGAATGTACAGATATTCCTAAAGCCACGTGCTCCTCCCCACCCGGCAACTTTATGGGGTTTTCACTCCCACTCCCTGCAGCAGTGGAAATAAAATCATTCACAAGGGACCCGAGCCTCTCCCTGGTCCATCCTCGCCTTCATCCCGCAGCAAAATTTTCCTTGCCTGGGGAATTGGGTGGAATGGCTCTCCCAATGTTTTTGGGGTTTTTGGGCTTGGGGTTTTGGCTGGAGTGATGCTGAATTTGGGAATGAAGGGATTCTTGGCCGGGATGGAATTCCCAGAGAATCCCTGGATTCCAAGGGCTGGGCTGGAGCAGCCTGGGCTCGTGGGAGGTGTCCCTGCCCATGTAGTGGGATAGGGTTAGACCCCAAACCCAGGAACTTTATGGGGTTATGAAGGAATTCTTGGCTGGGATGGAATTCCCATAGAATCCCTGGATGCCCCTGGATTCCACGGGCCAGGCTGGTGGGAGGTGTCCCTGCCCATGGGGTGGGACAGGATTGGACCCCAAACCTTGACCCCAAAGCAGGGTTTGAGGGGCTGGGCTCACAGCCCTGGGGTCCAGGCCAGGCTCCCGCCCCACGTCCCCTCCCTAACGAGCATCCCTGCTAATTAGGAGAGGCTCGTCTTGGCTGCAGCTCCCGGGGCTGTCACCCCAGCAGAAGGTGACACCCAACACTGGGGGGGGTGACAGCCACGAGCGCCCAATCCCTGGGGGATCCAGCCCCTCCCCAGCACTGGGAGCAGCGGCTGAGGAGCCCCCACCCCTCTAACCCCACTAATGAGGGGGTCCCCGTGACCCCAGAGAGCAGCTTCCCATGCTGCCAGCCCCAACCCAGTCCCAAAAGGTTTTAGGGAGCAGCTTTGGGGTGCTCTTTGGGATCCTTCAGCTCTGGGGATCCAACTGCCCAGGGGACCCCACTGTCCTTTGGGACCCCTTCATTCCCAGGATCCCCTTCATTCCCAGGGTCCCCTTCACCCTTTGGGATCCTTCACCCCAGAGAACCCCACTGTCCAGGGGACCCCATTGTCCTTTGGGACCCTTCATCCTTAGGGACCCCTTCATTCCCGGGGACCCCTTCACCCCCGGGACCCCTTCACCTTTTAGGACCCTTCACCCCCGGGGTCCCCTTCATTCTTGGGGCCCCCTTCAGCTTTTGGGACCCCAGGGAACCCCATTTCCCAGGGGACCCTGGGCCACCCCCCTTTCTCCCCCCCAGCCCCCCCGGCTCACACCGGCCCTGTCCCTAATGAGGGGCTTAATGAAGATTAACGGGGGGGCACACGGCGGGGGCTGGGGGGCTGCGGGAGCCGCCGGTGCCCTCGGGGGGCTGGGGGGCTGCGGGGGTGTCCCCGGCCGCCCCCCGAGCAGATGGGAGCGCCGGGAGGGTGGGCGGTGCGCGGGGGGCGAGGCGCCGCTGGCGACGGGAACATTTTCGCGGCCGTGGGTGGGTGGGTGGGCACGAGGCTGCCCGGGGGGCGCTGCCGCGCTCGCCCTGCCCCTCCTGGGGTGTGCCAGCCCCCCAGCCAGGAGGGTCCGGGGCCCCCCGAGCTGAGCTCTGTCCCCGGGGACACGGGGGGGCGCGGGGGGGTTTCACACCCTGCCCCGGTGAGGGGAGCAGTGCTGAGCACCCCTTGCACCCACACCCCCTCCCCAAAAACCCCAAAACCACACCAGAGAGTGAAGATTTGGGGTTCTGAGCTCCCCCTGCACCCACAGCGGCTCCTTGTCCCCAAAATCCCCATAAAACACCCCAGAATGTGAAGTTTGGGGTGCTGTGCCCCCCCTGCACCCACAGCGGCTCCCCCTCCCCAAAAAACCCCAAAACAACCCCAGATAGTGAAGGTTGGGGGTGCTGAGCCCCCCCCCAGCACCCACAGCCACTCCTTGTTCCCCAAAAAACCCCAAACCACCCCAGAGAGTGAAGGTTTGCAGTGGTGAGCCCCCCCCTACACCCACAGCTGCTCCCCCTCCCCAAAAAACCCCAAAACCTCTCAGTGTGCGAAGATTTGGGGCGCTGAGCTCCCCCTCTGCATCCACACCGGCTCCCCCTCCCCAAAAACCCCAAAACCACCCCAGAGAGTGAAGATTTGGGGTGCTGCGCCCCCCGGGAGGGGAACGGGGCTGGGTGAGCTCACTGTCCCCACCCCTCGCTGCCGGGGGGGGTCCCTGCAGCCCCCCCAAACCCCGCGCTGCTCACTGGGGTCCCCCCGGTGCTTTGGGGCGCCCCTGGGACCGGGCACAGCCGGGGGTCCCTGCCCGGTGTCACCTCCTGGGGTGGCGCTGCCTTTGTCCCCCCGCCCGGGGCCGTGTCCCCCCGCCCCTGGGGACACCCGGGAGATGTCACCCCTCGCCCCCCTCCAGTCCCGGCCCCCCCAGCCCCTCCCAGCCGGGGCTGCTGCAGCGGAGCCGCCCCGGGGCCGCCTGGCGCTGGGGACAATGCGGGGAGCAGCAGGGGACCGCGGGGCTGATTGGCCCCGCCTGTCCCCTCGGCCAGACCCCCGAGAGCCCCCTCCTCCTCCTCCTCCTCCTCCTCCTCCTCCTCTCCGTGCCTTAAAAGCCCGGCTCCCAGCGGGGCTCTGCACGCCGAGGAGGAGGAGGAGGAGGAAGGACGGGGGTACGTCCGTGCCGGCCCCGTTTGGCTCCCCCAGAGCCCCCCCGGGCTGGGGCAGCGGGGGATGGGGGGGTTTGGGGGTGCAGGGGGCTGGGAGCACTGGGAAAGGGCGGATCTGGGGCAAAACAGCAGGAATTTGGGAGCAGCATCCTCAGGGTGGAGCGAAGGAACTGTGGGGTGGGTGGTGGATTTGGGGTTTGGGATTTGGCGTTTGGGGTTTGGGATTTGGGGTTTGGGATTTGGGGTTTGGGGTTTGGGATTGGGACAGGCTGGAGGGGGCCGGGACCCTCGCCCTGCTCTGCCGTGGGTGTCCCACGGGAGGGGAGCCTGGAGGGAGGGAATTCTGTGGGAATGGGCCCTGGAGCGTTTGGAGTGCCAGGCCTGGGGGATGTCCCCGTGCTGTCACACGGATCCCGGGGCCTCTGGCCCGCCAGGAAAAGCAGATTTAGGCCGGGATTTAGACTGGATGTGGGAGCAGAAGGGGGGAGCAGCACTTCGGGGCTCCTGGGGCTGGTTCTCCTCGGCTGCTGGGCTTGGTGGGCCGGTTCCACTCATTGCCACGAGAGCCGTGACCCCCTCACCACCCCCGACCCCCCCTCATCACCCCCGAACCCTCTCATCATCCCCGACCCCCCCTCCGCCCCCCGGGGCTGGGAAAGCCGGGCAGCCCCGGCAGCCCCGCGGGGCCTCTCCTGCACAGCCGAGCGTGAAATGCCATGAAAAGGGTCACGAATGTCCCCAGGGCCGGGGCTGCGGCTGTCTGTCCCCTCCTGGGCTGGGGCTGTCTGTCCCCTCCTGGGCTGGGGCTGCCTGTCCCCTGTGGGGCTGTCTGTCTCCTCCCGGGTCTGTCTGTCCCCCAGGGTTTGGGGGCTGTCTGTCCTCTCTCAGGTCTGTCTGTCCCTTCCCAGGGCTGTCTGTCCCCCAGGGTTTGGCTGCTGTCTGTCCTCTCCCGGGGCTGTCTGTCCCCCACGGTTTGTGGCTGTCTGTCCTCTCCCGGGGCTGTCTGTCCCCCACGGTTTGTGGCTGTCTGTCCTCTCCCGGGGCTGTCTGTCCCCCCAGGGTTTGGGGCTCCCTGTCCCCTCCACCCCGGGCTGGCCCCACAACCTCCCAGCCCGCACCCAGCCCTTGGTGCCATTGCAGGTGCCATCCCTGGGCGCGGTGACCCCTGCCAGGCGCAGGATGTGTCCCCTGGGCTGGCTGGGGGTGGCCAGCCTGTGCCTGGGGACACTTTGGGCTGTCCCAGCCGAGGAGGGGAGGGAGGCGGAGAAGCCCCAGGCTGAGCTGACCCTCTATGACAACCCCGATCTGGAGCACTACGACGTGACCTTGGACAGCTACGGGGACATCCTGGACCTGAGCAACTACGAGGAGCTCTACGACTACGGGGACCTCGTCCCGAAGGTGAGGGGGGCACAGGAGAGCCCCTGGCTGCGTCCCAGGACGGGGATTTGGTGCCAGGGAGGGATGTGGCACCGCAGGGGGAGCAGCCCTGGCAGCTCTCCCGGGGCTGGGCAAGGTTTTACCCGAGCCACAACTCTGCCAGCTCCTGGATGTGAGGATTCCTTCATCCCTCTGGCCAGGAGGGTTCCTTGGAGAGCTTGGAGAGCTTCCCAAGGAGGAATTAATGACCCCAACCCATTCCCTGTGACCCTGTCGGTGCCACCCACCCCAGAAGGGACAAGTCCCCCCTCTCACACCCAGCCGTGCTTGCAGATCGAGGTTGGCACCTTGGCTCCTCGCCCCAAGGACCCCAAAACCCTGCCAGAGCTGGGTGAAACCACGGCTGGACCCCCAAAAGTGCAGCCCCCGAGCGGTGCTGGCCCCGCGCCCCCAGCGCCCAGCCCCGGGCAGGGTGAGTTGTGCTCCCTTGGGATGCCACACGGGGGAATTTTGGGGGGTAAAAAAGGGAATTCTGGCGCTGCCAGCAGCTCTTTGCAGGGTTTTGGGGTTGAGTCTGCTCGCACAGCCAGGCAGGAGGGCTGCAGAGAGAGAAATTACTGGGAAAAAATGAACTCCAGCAAAGCAGCGATGCTTTAATGAGCAGAGGCTTTGCGACGGTGGCAATTAGATTAGTGACAATTAAAATCCTGCAGCGAGGATAAATATCTTTATTCCTTTTCTGTCACTCCAGGCCGGGAAAAATTAAGTGGGAGGAGAAAGGAAATTGGTGCTGAGCTGCTCTGAACCCCCCCTCGAAGGGGTGGGGGGCTCGGGGGAGAGGAGGGGGATCGGGTGTGGGGGGTGGGCTCAGTTTTACCCCTCCTGTCCCCCGTGCTGGGGCCTTGGGGACAGCTGGGACAGATTTTTCTTGATTTAAAAGAATTTTCTGGAGTTCTGCTTCCCCCAGTGGGAAAATTAAAGGGGCCAGGAGAGCTTTGGGTGTAAAAAACTGAATTTGGGGATTTTAATCCCCCCTCCTCCTGCAGGAGGGATTTGATCCTGGGCACTTCATTTATTAACAGGTTTGGGGTTTTTTTGGTGGGAGTTTCTG